TGGGCTTTGCTTCTGTGAAGACTGACAGCCTTGGAAACCCTGTGGGGCAGTTCCACTCTGTCCTCTAGGGGCGCTGTGAATCAGATTCGACTCCACGGCAGTGGGTATGGTTTGGGCTTTGCTTCTGTAAAGTTCATAGCCTTGGAAACCCTGTGGGCAGTTCTGCTCTGTCCTAGAGAATCGCTGAGTTGAAATTGAATGTAGGGCAGTGGATTTGGTTTTTGGTTTTTGCACTTCTAATTTTAGCATATATTCTATTTTTTTTTTTTAAAGAAAAAACTGTCGATTTCACTGAAACTGTGATATTTATGTAGGAGAAATTTCTAAACCAGCTGTCGTTTTTGTGGGCCTGGAGCTACAAGGAAAGTTCATTTAAATACTTTATGTGATCACATGATACTTCTAAATTTATTTTAAAAGGGAACATATTTTCTGTTTGGTTACCTCTAGTGCCACTCTAACAGAAATACCACAGTGTGTGGCTTTAATAAACAAGACTTATTTTCTTACAGTTTTGGAGGCTAGAAGTCTGAGTTCAAAGTGCCAGCTCTAGGGAATGGATGAAAGCCCTTGACCTTGGGCTTCAGCTCTGCCTCCTGCTCCCGGCCCACTGAAGCTGGAGGCTTCTCTTCACTCAGGCAGCTGCTGGCTGCTGAGGCTGACAAACCCAAGGTTGACAAGTAAAATGGCACAGTCCTAAAATTATCAGACCACATGGCAGGCTGCTGAATGACCTCTTGGCTACATGAAGGATTCAAGCGTGCCAAAGCTGTAGACCATTCCCAACACCTCCTTGTGTACTGAGAGCAGACCACATCCCCAAGGCAGCAACTCCGCTGCTCCAGTAGATTCCACCATGGAGGTGATTACCAGTCTTATCATGGGGAATAACTACATCCAGCTGCCCAGCCACTCAAAATTAGGCCCAGCCAATTTGACACATAACCTTAACTACCTTATTTTCCAAAGAAAACATAATAATGTTTTTGTTGTTGTTAGGTGCCGTCGAGTCAGCTGTGACTCACAGTGGCCCCGTGGACAACAGAGCGAAACACGGCCCCGTCCCGTGCCAGCCTCATAGTCCCTGCTAGACCTGAGCCCATCGTCACAGCCACTGTGTCAATCCATCTTATGGAGGGCCTTCCCTGTTTTGGTTGACCCTTCACTTTACCAAGCATGACATCCTTCTGACAACATGACCAAAGTAGGTGAGACAAAGTCTGGCTATTCTCACTTCCAAGGAGCATTCCAGCTGCATTTATTCCAAGACAGATGTGTTAGTTCTTTTGCCAGTCGGTGGGACCTTCAGCATTCTTCGCCAGCACCACAACTCAAAAGCATGAACTCTTCTTTGGTCTTCCTTATCCTTTGTCCAGTTCTCACATGCATATGAGGCTACTGAAAATACCATGGCTTGGGTTAGGCACATCTTAGTCTTCAAGGAAACATCTTTGCTCTTCATCACTTGAAAGAGGTCTTTTACAACAGATTTGCCCAGTGTAATACGTCGTCTGATGTCTTGACTGCTGATTCCATTGGTGTTGATTGTAGAATCAAGTAATGAGAAATCTTTGATAACTTCCATCTTTTCTCCATTTATTGTGATGCTGCTTTTGGTCTAGTTGTGAGGACTTTCGTTTTCTTTATATTGAGATGTAATCTATACTACAGACTGTAGTCTTCATTCTTCATTAGTAAGTATTTCAAGTCATCCTCACTTTCAGCAAGCAAAGTTGTGTCATGTCCATATCACAAGTTGTTAATGAGTCTTCTTCCGATCCTGATGCCACGGTCTGTTCCATGTATTCTGGCTTCTTAGATTATTTGCTCAGCATAGACTGACGCACTCCCTTCCTGATTTTAACAAGCGTCCCCTTGTTCTGTTTGAACGACAGCCTCCTGGTCTATGCACAGGTTCTTCATGAGCACAGTCAAGTGTTCTGGAATTCCCAATTCTTCTCACTGGTATCCATAATTTGTTATGATCCACACAGTCAAATGCTTTTGCATAGTCAATAAAACCTAAGTAAAATTATTTGCTTACAGCCAAGATCCGTCTGATATCAGCAGTGATATCCCTCGTTCCATGTCCTCTTCTGAATCCAGCTTGCATTTCTGGAAGTTCTCTGTCAATATACTGCTGCAATCATTTTTGAATTATCTCCAGCAAGGTTTTACTTGCATGTGATATTAATGATATTTTTCAATAATTTCCACATTCCGTGGGATCACCTTTCTTTGGAGTGGATACAAATATGGATCTTTTCCAGTCAGTTGTCAGGTAGCTGTCTTCCAAATCTCTTGGTATAGCTGAGCGAATGGCTCCAGCATGGCATCCATTTGTTGAAACATCTCAGTGGGTATTCTGTCAGTTCCTGGAGGCTTGTTCTTCGCCAATTCCTTCAGTGCAGCCTCAACTTCTTCCTTCAGTATCATTGGCTCTTGATCATATGCCACTTCCTGAAATGGATGAACATCAAATAATTCTTTTTGGTACAGTGACCCTGTGTATTCCTTCCATCTTCAATATTTTGCCCATAGAATGTATCAACATGGCAACATGAG